CTCTGGATTTTGGGCCACAGTCTTTATTTTACCTCCAAAAATCACTAATTTACAAGTCAATAATTTTGAACAAAATTGGATAAATGAGGCATTTCTTGAGTTAATCGAGTCTTAAGAGTGCTATTTTTGGATTCCTTAAGTTAAAATCTATTAGAGTACCAAATTTTAGGAAATTTCCCCAAGCCATTATGAAGATACTATATGTCAAAGTTGCTTTGTAGTCGCTTCAGAAAATCACAAAAATGCTGAGTCAGCATTATTTCAAGTGACAATATCTATGGAACCCATTGGTATTTTTAACTAAAATTTTCGCAGTTATTATTTTTTTGATATGGACTGCAAGTGGTGTAAAAATAAACAAATTCTGAGATGTAAGGGTGTCATGGTCTGGATGATTTCATATATTTTTACCCTCCAGCACTGGAAATAAGACATAAGAATATAAATAAAAGTTATATATACTCTTTGATAAATCAAAGAACATTTGTTTTCTTATTAAATAATTATTAATAGTAAGTTGTTACTTTATATAAAAAATGTTGCTTAATTTTATAAAAAAAATTATATTGGTCCAGTTAATCTTATTGCACTTTTCTGTTTGTTTTTAAAATGTTCTCAAAACGACTAAAAAATCTGGCCGGTTTTTTGTAACTAAATATTTTTTCCATGGTCAATTATCAAAGGCGATTGCATCCGCTTCCTGACCAAGCCTGTTTTAATAAAATAACATGTCCCCGAAAGTCGCCAACTAGAATGCTACATATATATATATATATATATATATATATATATATATATATATATATATATATATATATATATATATATATATATATATATATATTTATATATATGTATATATATATATATATATATATATATATATATATATATTATATATATATATATATATATATATATGTATGTATATGTATATCATCAAAAAGTTTTTTTTTTTCATCTAACCCGTTTTATATATATATATATATATATATATAAACTAAACTATTATATATATATATATATATATATATATATATATATATATATATATATACATATATATACATATATATACATATATATATATGTATATATATATACATACATACATACATACATACATACATACATACATACATACATACATACATACATACATATATACACAACCGTCCATAATTATTTGAATGGTTGTACTTTTTGATATAAGATATCATAGTTTTATTTACTAGGAAGAGAAGCTGTAAGTAAAGTCTACCTGAATTATATGTTATCTTCCTTTTTATTTGGTTTACAAAAAAATTAATTTAAAGTACGATTAGATTAGTTTATAATTTACTTGCCTTTTAATCTTAGCGACAACAACCATTATTCATATTGTTATCATTCTCCTTAACAATTTATCCAATTTGTTGAAGTCAATTTTATGCCATTAACTAATAAGTTTTTTCCATATCTTATGCATAATTAGCCATTTTACCTTTTCACATTACTTTTAACTCCTCCCATAAAAATCTGGTAAGAGAGGGATCTTGTGATTGGGCAGGTTTCTGTATAATAATATAGTTTAATCATTTTATTTAATACTTGATCGTTTTCGAACTCAGTCAAATAACTTAAACAATTTTTTGAAAATGCATTTTAGATTTAAGCTTCAAGTCATTTTCTTCTGAAAAAATGAATAACTTCTCATTAATCCATCTTTCTGAAAGTGTAGCATAATTTTTTAAGTGTACAAGTAAACTACTTTTGTCATTACTCACTCTGTTTTCACCTGTGGCATTCTAACCAAAACAGCCCCAAACCAAATAAACTACATGCACAATGTTTTACAGTCAATTATACACACTATTTTATCATAAATTCAACAATTTTTTTTTCAGACAATCTTATCTTGAAACTAAAGATTTAAAACCTTTACACCTTGGTTCGCGTTTACAGTCATTGATGGTCCATTTTTTATGTAGTTTTTCCCACTTTAGCATTTTTATTATTCTTATGATTTTTATCAAAGCATTTCAACAAAAATACTTTTAAATTATCTAATAGTGCAAAAATAAACATAAAAAATAGTTAAATAAAAAATAGCATTTTTAAAAAATTTTTATTCAAATAGTTATGAATGGTAGTGTTTATATATGTAGGCAATTCCATGCCATTGTATTCAGACATTAGAGAAGGTTTTACAAGAGTTAAATTATTGCTAATGGTTTTAAATAACTTTTCCAAATAAATATGAATTTGATCTATCATATTGCACCACAAAACGCTGTCAGAATTTATGTAGATTGTTTTTCATTCAACTTACAATGTCTTAAAGTAATGTTGCATTCAGAATGATAAAATTAAGCAAAAATAGCGTGTACTCTTTTAGAATTCTCTGAAACTATTAATGCCAAACATTATAAATGGAGATATTCTCAAAGCATAAGTCTTAAATATTAAAATAATATAAAGTTTCTGGTATCCAAACATATATTACGCATAAATTTTCTTAGCTAAATCAAAAGATATACATGTTGCGGTCAGACAAAACCATTTATTGCTTTCAGATATTCTTTATTTATAACAAAACTGAGTACATATATTTATCCTAAAATGTGTTTTTACAGTGTTCAACAGAAAGGTATACAAAGAAACTCACCTTAAGCTACTTAAATAGTTGACCAGGTGTTTTTAAATAGTTGACCAGGTGTTTAAATAGTTGACCAGGTTCTTTTGGGAAGTGGCGGATAGATCTAACATTTTTGGGAGGTGGCAGTATGAAAAACAATTTCCTGGTGAGAGTACACTGCAATGTCCTCAGTTGGAGGGTAAGTGTAATGCTTAAGTGTTAAAAGTATAACAATCTTTGGTGTAGTGAATGTTTTAAAAATTTTCTAATCTCAACAGATGACATTATAATAATATGGCCTCTGAATAATATACAAAATAATATGGCCTATGAATTGTAAGAAAAAAAAGTGGTGATGTTTATGCTTAAGTCATATAACCATAAGTGGTGATGGTTATACTTAAGTTATATGTACTTTGATGATAGTCTTAGAGACTTATTATTGCTATTAGGGAGACTATTAATTGTATTTTTTGATGATTCAATCATTGAAAAATGGCTGATGTTATCCCTTGCTTTAAAAAGGACAGTCTAACCAATATATAAAGCTAGCGTCCGATAATTATAATTCTTGATCTATCAAAAGTTCTTTAATTATTTTTATACCAGCAAATTTTTCTATTTTTTGAGCCTCAATTAGATGCCTGATTGTATGTAAATTGAAAATGAGCACTTTGAATTCGCTTAACAAAGCATTGTCTCAAAAATGCAGGCAAATTAGTAAAAACTGTTACCTGAATTCAGTAAAGAGTATTGTTATAACTTCATTAAACCCACTACTCCAGTGTTTAAAAGTCACTTTATCTTTATCCACCAGTTCCAACCAGCATTCAGTAAATTTCTCATATTGAAGATTACCACAATTTTCACAAAAAAGAAACACACTCTTAGCGGGGTGGATCGCAAACAAAATTTTGATGTTTGGGTTGATCAAATATAGTGGCGTGTAAGTTGTTTATAAACTGAAAACTCACATGTATAGCACAAACTCATACATTTTCTGGAATTTTTCTTTGGAGCTTAACATAAAATGGTCTGTTAGAAGCGAATTTTGAAAATTTCATAGACACACCACATAGTCATTCTTGAATATTCCCAATGCTTCCTTCAGTGTGAATAGCAAATGATAAGTTTGTCTTTTCTTCCCAGTGACTTTACTGATATCATCTTTGATGCCAGGTGCCTAACAGGAAATTTTGTCACATTCATAAAATTTATGAATTAGTAGAGTGAAACAATTTTCTGTTCTATAGGTGTACTACTTGGTCCATCATTATTAACTACTCGCAAACCAATCCATTTGCCCACTTCTACAAACACAACCTGCCGATGGTCCTCATCCATAATTAAACTCTTCATAACTTTGTTTACTGTCTTACCAAAAGACTGTGGTGTAAAAAATATTAGTCCATCTGTGGATGTATTTTCTGCCTCTCTCTTCCTTTTTTTCTTTTTTTTTTTTGCTTCTCTGTCCCTTTTACGTCATTTTTCTAATTGATCAGGTGTCATGTTAGAAATACTTCACTATGTCATGTTCAGACATTTTATGTTGCATTCAGACATTAAGACAAAGATGTTCAAACATTGCATGTTGTGTTGAAAAATTTCATATTGCATACAGAAATGTTGCGTTCAGACAAATTTAAAAATCATATTATTTAACAACATAAACATTGAATGATAAGTTAAAGTTATAATCATAAATATATTGGTGCTAATTATAAATTAAATAAATTTAACATTACAAATGTTATGAAAAATTACAGAATAACAATAAGTTGTTAATAATGGTGTTGCGTTCAGACAAAAAATATTTGAAAAAATAAATAATTACAAAACAACATGTGATTACGACCTGGTGTTGAAGAAAAAATGAAGAGTAAGACTCGCAGTACAAATTAAAACACTTAAAAAAATAAAAATATGTTGTAATTAGATGTATTCTGCTAAACTAATCAGCCTATATTTAAAAATTTAAATTTTATTGATATATATCTTTAATGAATGAAATATCAGCGAGCCGCAAAATATTTTTTCTGAAAAGTCATAGAAAACATAACTTCAATGTTTATATTTACCAAAATAATGTTGAAAAATACATTTAGTAATACTTTTTTTTAACATGATTTTTGATCTTCTGACTTGGAATTGCCCATATATATATAGCAATTACAATGAAATTATTTAGTCCTGTTTGCATATTCTCTTGACGAAAATTGCATTAAAAAAAATTTGATGCAAAAAATTTTAAATGTTATCTTATATTAAACATTAAGTTGTAAAAGTTTACATCAAACTTTCTCTAATGCTGTTTTCATTAAAAAATGATGCAATGATGATATATGAGTGATATAAGTATAGTGATATTTTTTTTAATTTTTAGTCGTAAATGTCAATGTTGTCAAAAACAGCTAGAACCGGTTAATCTGACACCAGAGAGGTTATTGAAATTAAAACAGAATCTGATGGCTGTTGTTGAAGAATGCTTGTCTCAAATTGAACAATCTCATAACATAAAGCAAGTTCAAACGCCTCCCTTAACTGAGGATATGAAAATAAATAAAAGAGCCAAATATGATGATTTACAGATTGTTGTTCCTTCAACAAAAATTGATAAAAATTGTAATGGAAACTTTTTTCAAAATAATTTTGGTATTCGTTCAAATACGCTTGAAAATTTAAAATCATTTCTTGAAAAAAATTTACCTTTTGAGATTATAATTGATTCTTTAAACATGGGTTACCAAGGGCAACAAGGTTTTGAAATAAATAAGGTTTGTTATAAAGTTACATATCTAACATAAAAAAATATAGTTTTTCATAATTGTAGGGGGTAGGGGGAGGATCCTATGAATCTCTTTCAGCAATTTTTTTAAAATTCATTTTGGAAGGTTCAAGCTGTAGTGCAATATTTTCTTGATAAAAAAAAGCGAATTTTATTGGTTTGTGCTGACTCAATGAATCAAAAATATCTGAATTCTACAAAGACAATAGAGAAAGCAAGTGCAATTAGGTTTCGAAAAACTATGGAATATCTCAATGAAAATTGTACACTTTACTTTAGTGAATCAAGGTAAGTTTTTTATTTTTTTATTTTTTTTTTGTAAAGTATTATTTTTTGATTTTTATTTTAATTTTAGTCTTGTTGATGACTATTGTTTGCTTTACACAATCGCTTATCACAACTTTGAGTTGAAAATTGTTTCTAATGATTTGTTTCGTAACCACTTACAACTGATGGATGCAGACACTAGAACAGCTTTTAAAAGATGGCAACTTGCAAACCAAATGAGACCATTGCGTTTTCTTATTGATGACTCACCAATATTTCAGGTATTAAAATATCTTTTATGTATTATAAATTGCTTATGCAAGAATAAAACATTTTTTACCTGATGTGCAATATATAATAATATTATATATTGTTTATATATAATATGTATAAAAATAGTAGAAAATCAATTATCAAATTATTTTCATTTTACATTATGTTTTATCTATAAATACTCATCAAAAATGATTAAAACTTCAATTTATACCAAAAATTAAATTATAGGTATGGGTAAGTATTTATAAATGAAGCACAGTGTGGGAAAAATTTGATAATTGATTTTTTACTAATTTATTATTTCTCTGTTCTTTCAAGAACATTGAGCACTCTATTTTGTTGAATACAATTAAAATTATTTGTATGTATAAGTATGTAATATATGTTAATATATGTTTAATAAATGTAAAACTAAAAAAATAACTTTTTTTTTTCAATTATTCTCTTGCATATTTATTAACTTGCAGTTTTATTGACACAACATCTTTATAAAAGTTAAAAAAGTTGTTATATATAGTTATATTACATATATTATATAACGTTTGTTCCTAAATTTTGTCATAATATATATATATATATATATATATATATATATATATATATATATATATATAATATACATATATATATATATATATATATATATATATATATATATATATATATATATACATATATATATATATATATATATATATATATATATATATATATATATATATATATATATATATATATATATATATATATATATATATATATATATATATATGTATATATATATATATATATATATATATATACATATATATATATATATATATATATATATATATATATATATATATATATATATATATATATATATATATATATATATATACAAATATAGATACAATAATAAACAACAATATATACAAATATATATATATATATATATATATATATATATATATATATATATATATATATATATATATATATATATATATATATATATATACAAATATAGATACAATAATAAACAACAATATATACAAATATATATATATATATATATATATATATATATATATATATATATAATATATATATATATATATATATGTATATATATATATATGTATATTATATATATATATATATATATATATATATATATATATATATATATATATATATATATATATATATAATAATAATAATAATAATAATAATAAAAATATATACAATGTAATGACAAGTATAATCAAAGGATTTGATAAAACAAAGCAAAGTCAGAAGTTCTCTGCTGTAAAAATAATTTTTTTTTTACTTTTCATAACAATAATGTTAATTATATATTTGTATGTATTTATAATTTAAGTTGAGTAAGAAAAATTTAGATTGAAAACAGATGACAGATGATAGATATCATTTTTGTCTTAAATTTTAATTAAGAAATCTTTTTACTTTTATTTTTTATTTTACTTTGCAATAAGTGCTTTAATCAAGTTTTAAAAGTTTTATCATTTTTGTTAATCTCGTTTATAATGCTTATTAAGTTTATAAGGATGCATCCTTGACAACTTATTATTAGGCTCATTAAAACATCATCATGAACTGTAAATGCTCAACTTGGCTGAAGTGCATTTTCTTTGTGTTACCTTTGTAATCCTTATAGTTGGAAATTGTGACCATTGTAACCATTACCAATTTTATTATTGGATAATTATATAGTTGTGTTCAATTTTTTTCTTTGCTGAACTCTGTATTACAATTGTGTTATAAACTCCATAGTTTAATACCATTAGATGGTTTTCTACACAGCGACACAAATTACTGATCCAGCACTTTTCTCTTTGAATTCTTTACCAACTGGAACAGCTTTTTCACATTTAGAGCATACTCTTGTGTACTATTCAATTTTTTATATTACCTTTGTGTCTATAAGCATACACCACCTCTTTTGATCCATTATATGTAAGCTGTTACATACATGCAAACATTTTTTTTTTTTTTCATAATATAAAAAAATTAACGTTTGATGTAAAATGAATGGTAGTATGGGTTTAAAAAAATAAATTTTAAATGTTAACAAAAATTAATTAAAACCAGGGAGTCCCAAAAGGACTCCAGTTTTTGAAGGTTGGCTGCGAGTGCAAGTCCAACTATGTTTACCATGGATTATTGCACCTTGTCTAAAAGAGAAAGGGTATCATTTGAAGATTTGCTCCAGATACGGCAACAGTATTCCATAAAAGGACAGATTTGAAGTCTATAGAGATAAAGAGAATCCGGTATAGCGATAATAGTTAGCTCAAAAGTTAAAGTTCACTAGCCTCTGAGAACCCCATGCTGTAGCAGAAGTGAGATCCTTTTTTTCAAGCTCAAATGCCCCCTCCAAACAATCAGAGAGTGTTGGCTTCTTATCGAGAAAAGAATTTATAAATCTGAAGTCCTTTTTGGGACTTCACATCTCTTATTAAAAGTATAATTTTAATAATTTGATAATAATTTCTTTTTTTTGTTACCAGTTTTAGCTACTAATGAGCTAGAAACAAATTTTCAAGGTGACAAAAAACTTTTAGTTTAAACAGTTTGTTAGCAGATACTTTATAAACATTAAAATGTACTTATGCATAATAAACAGGAAGTGACTTATGTTAATTTTTATAAAATTCTCCCAGCTATATAAGATCCCCTGTGTAATTTTACTTTTTATCAACAAATTTTTAATTCAAAACTAAAAAAAAACTATTGTAAACCTCTACTTCATGGGAAACCCCTACTTCATTGGAAAATTGAAAAATCATTAATGGAATTCTATTAAAGATTCTCCAATAAAGTCCATTAAAGAAACTCTAAAGAATTAAACATTAAAGAAAAAGACTCCATTAAAGAAACATTTATCATGAATTCTTTAAATCCAGAGGGTTATCCATTTTTGTCTGGGTTATTCTGAATAGTCTTTAATATCTCCATCAGATTCTGACATCAGCACCTAACAACTTTTTATCAACCTTAACGTTTGTTAAATAGTGACTCCACTCTGCAGTAGGCTTCATTGTTGATAGGCTTTTGATATAGACAGATAAATCTTAGAATTGTAATTTCTGGTTCTTTAAACTTTTGCATCAATTAGATCTGCACCTATATATACCAGCAAATTATAAATAGCTGCATCAGATGCAATATCTGCAAAAGGTGAACCAAAAGCTTTATTCAAGAAAATTGATTAAAGACATTCTTTTAGTCAAAAAGGAGAGAATTACTTATGAAGCTACAAGTGGAATGTATTTATAGAAAATGTGTAGTAGTTTCTACATAGGGAAATACTACATGGAAAGATGTAGTAATAATACTATGTTGCAAGTATAATCATAGTATAAAAGTTGTTCTCGATGGACAGCACTCTTCTTCATATCTTGTAACTTCAGAGGTTCCTCAAGGTTATATCCTTGGCCTTATACTCTTTATTATTTACATTAACGATTTTCCAGAAATTATCACATCTAAGTTGGCATTGTTCGCTGATGATACTACCATTTATTCTTATCACAATAAGAAGCCAACTCCCTCTGATTGCTTGCAGGGGGCATTTGAGCCTGAAAAGGATCTCACTTCTGCTACAGCATGGGGCTCACAGTGGCTGGTGAACTTTAATTCAGATAAAACTCAATTTTTTTGGGCTAATCATTATTGCAACAATCTAGATCTTCCTATATTTATGAACGGTTATGTACTCAATGAGTCATCTATCCTTTAAAGATTGGAAGAGTTAATCTAGGATTAACTCTTCCAATCTTTCTTGAAAACTATATATCAAATCGAAAATTAGTATCTGCTAAGGTTGTATCTCTTCATCGTGCTTGCCACTTTCTTACTCTGGATTCTGTTTTTTATCTTTATAAACCTCAAATTCGTCTTTGTATGGAGTATTGTTGCCATATCTGGAGCAAATCTTCGAATGATGATCTTTCTCTTTTAAGCAAGGTGCAAAAACGCATTGTAAACATAGTTGGACCTGCACTTGCAGCTAACCTTCAACCATTGTCACATCGTCGTAATGTTGCTTCTCTTTCTCTTTTCTATAAATACTATCATTAGCACTGCTCTAAAGAGCTAGCGTCTTTTGTGCCATTTAATAAAGAGTCTCATCATTTTATTGTGACTGCTCCTAAGTGCTCCAAAAATTCTTATTCTTCTAGTTTTTTTCCTCAAACGTCAGTTCTTTCGAATTCGCTTCTTTCATCTTGTTTTCCTGATTCATATAATTTGCAATCTTTTAAGTCGTCTGTCAATCGTTATCTTGCTTTGTAAACCTCATCTTCTCTCTTCCGATTACTTCCAACACAAATAGTGGTTGCTTGCAGCCTTGTTGGAAGTGAAAATGATGGAAAAAAAAAACTTTTTTATAATTTGTTAAATTATGTTTTTGACGTAATATGTTTAGAACCTCAGCATATATTAATTATATGTTTAATCTAAAGGATAAATATAATTTTTTTAGCCACTAGCCAACTACAATGTAACACTGCAGCAAAATGGTGACAATTGGCATGTACCGATATCTAACAGCGTATTCAGAGAGAAAAAAGAACGGAGTTCGTGGCTTTGTTTTCAAAAAATCGATAAAACCGTTATTCTATAAAACAGCTCTAAATAATTTTAATTAATGTTTTAAAAAGTATTGAGATGTTTGAGGTGTATTATTTTATTCACAGTCCTTCATTAACACCTTTATAAAAAAACCTTTTACACCAGATTAAATAAAAAGACGCGATTTTGTAACGATTCGTTTTTTAATTAGTAGAATTCATTACTCAGCAGTAACTAGCGGTACTACAATCATGGGTATATCCTGCTGCTTCCAATATTAAAGTTTGCCTTGTCAAATATCAAGCAATCTAAAACAAAACAAAAAAAAAACACTTTTTTATGTTTGATTAAAATGACTGCACAGTGTTAACGTTGATTATTAAAATGACTGCACAGTGTTAACGTTGGTTATTAAAATGATTGCCTAGTGTTAACGTTGATTATTAAAATGACTGCACAGTGTTAACGTTGATTATTAAAATGAATGCACAGTGTTAACGTTGATTATTAAAATGACTGCACAGTGTTAACATTGATTATTAAAATGACTGCACAGTGTTAACATTGATTAACTATAAGTTTGTTATTTTTATTCGATTTTAATTATCTCAATGACAATTCGAAAAAATAATTCATTCTTAATACATATTTTTAAGTAGGGGAAATAGGCAAATTTTGTGCAGTTTATTAAACATTTGCTTTAAACATCTAAGAGTCTAATCAAACGGCTTCCAGGAAATTATTAAAGTTAAATTGCTAGCCAATATGACCAATAATCTGATGCAACATTAAATTCTTGTTACTTAGTTTTGAATTGCCTTAACTTATGCTTTTCATATAATTTCAAAGTATTTTTTTTAGCTTTAAAGTGACGAACCTGCTCACCATATTTTTTTTTGTTATGTGAATTTTTTCAGGTTTTGCATTTCTGCCCTTAAGGCTTTAATTATTTTTTCTTTTCGTTTAACATTTTGTCTTAGAACACATAATTGATTTGGCATGCTGTTTAATTCAGCTTTTAATAGTGCTATCTTGCTCCGACGTTTTTTGTAAGAGTTAGCTAACCAAGAAGACATGTAAGATAACGTACCTTTTAGTTTTTGTTCATAGGGCTTAATTTCTCTCTAAATAAAAGTTTAGTAACGTTTCGTTTGCTATAACTTACAGATGTTGACGGTCCACAAGTAAAAGGAGATAAAGCATTCATATTGGCATATGAAACATCTGAGGAGCCTGATGATAATACAATGTTAGGCAAACTTGATATATGGCTTAAAAAAGGTTTATTTCAAAAGTCAAAAAAACACTTACTGTCCTCAGCCCTATTAAAATTTCTAGCCCAATTCAATGATTTATTGAGACTCCTAACCTAATTTTTACATGTTTCTATCTTAAAATGTTTAGAGACTTGTTGAGATGTTTTGAGAAACGAATCTTTGTAAATGTAAAAAATAAAAAAATATGTCCATTTCTACAAACTGTATTACATCCTGTATTAGGGTCAGTTCCTATTTGTGACAATTCAAAATTAGCAGTTAAATACTTTTTATATTCACCATAAAACACAAAATTTTTTAGCATCATGATAATTAGAAGATAAAGTTTAATTTTTATAAATAAAAAATAATATATTTAAATAATGGTATATATAATGACATTACAATTGCTAATTACATTAAAGCTATTTAATGTAATGTAATTATATATTCAAATTTATTATTAATAACAATGATGATGTTAAATACAATTAATCTATATTCATTTAATTATTCATTATTGTTATTACCAGTACATTCCTCCTCACTGCGAGTGTATCGCATTATTAAAGCTTAAAACAGTTATCTAATTGGATTATAGTATTAAAATGCCTGAGTATGCGTTTTTTTCAATGAAACTTGGCAGGTAGTAAGAAAAAAGGTTTTCAAGGGTGAGAGAATATATTAAAAAATGAACCAGCATTCCTTTGATATATACTTGATGTCCAAACAACAAAAAGTTTTTATCTAATTGGAGTATAATGTTAAGGTGCCTGAGTATGCTTTTTTTTTCAATGAAATTTGGCAGATAGTAAAAAAAATAGTTTTCAAAGTTGAGAGAATATATTAAAAAAAGGAACCAGCATTCCTTTGATATATTCCTGATGTACAAAGAACAACAAATTTTTACCTAATCTGAGTATAGTATTAAGGTGCCTAAGTATGCTTTTTTTTTCAATAAAACTTAGCAGGTAGTAAGAATAAAGGTTTTAAGGGTGAGAGAATATATTAGAAAAATAAACCAGCATTTCTTCGATATATACTTAATGTCCAAGCAACAACAAATTTTTACTTAATTGGAGTATAGTATTAAAGTGCCTGAGTATGCTTTTTTTTCGATGAAATTTGGCAGGTAGTAAGAAAAATGGCTTTTAAATTTGAGAGAATATATTAGAAAAATGAACCAGCATTCCTTCGATATATACTTGTTGTCCAAAAGTATAATAATATATATATAAATATATATATATATATATATATATATATATATATATATATATATATATATATATATATATATATATATATATATATATATATATATATATATATATATATATGTGGTAACTTGCCTCAGAATCGTAAGATCCGTGGTTCAAACCCCACCTCTGTGCAAGTTTTGCGACATCGTTGGGAAGGAGGCGTGAACTTCCTATTAAATGCTCTTCCACAGTGCGGAAATATATATATATATATATTATATATATATATATATATATATATATATATATATATATATATATATATATATATATATATATATATATATATATATATTCTAAAATAAAAGTTTACATTTCATGGTTGTTTACTAGTAGTACGAGTACTAATCTAAGGTAAACACCAATTAAATAATAATAGCAATCATATAATAATGATGTAAATTAAATGAAGACGATTATAATAATATCAATAATACTATTAGATATAATAATGACAATAATAACGATTATATTAGTAATTATAATAACAACAACAATAATAATAGCAATAATAATAATAATAATAATAATAATAGGGGGATAGAAAAGTAAATTAACGCCTAAATTTAACTGCTTTTCGTTTTCTCTCGTCGTCAAATTTTATTTGATATCAATACCTACTTTAGCTGTGTTCAAGTAGAAAAAACTAAATCTTTTTTAGGAATATTCTTTTTCAAAATGTAGACTTAATCATTACATTCTCAAGAACAGTTTTCCTCTTGACAATTCGGGGAAGGTTGCGTATGTTAAGCAGGTTCCTAAGATTTTATAACCTCTTTTACGGGTAGACTACTGATTTTTTCGCAAACTTTTTTGGTTACAGATATTCATACAAGTTCAACGGTGTTATTTATTTCAATTTCTTGGTTGTATATTTAATATTCTTTGATTGTTTTATTAATAAAACATAATTTTTATTAAAAAAACATAAATAACATAAATTTTTTTAACAATATATTGTTAAAAAAATTTACCGTCCGGGTTATAATTTTTTAATATTTAATATTTTGTAATTGCTTGAGAACGAAACAAGATCATTAAAAATTTATTACATCCTCAATACTTTATGCTTATCAACTACTAATTCCATTGTTTGTATGAGATAATACATAAGCTGTTGTCATGCTATTTAAATTATTATAATACTTGGTGAAGTTGCTTAAGATTATACGTTTTTAGACGCTCAATATGAGACGCAGCTTTTTTATTAAGCAAAGAGCTTTTTTTTAAGTTATTCTACACGGAGAATTTTGGTATTTCAAAAGTGAAAGTTTTTTGAAAAAATAGTATCGCAAACTTTTTTAGAGATAAGCTAGATTTATTATTGTGTTTTTTTTATGGTTGCGATTTTTTTTACTTAAGTATAGTCCTTAATGATGCAACTTTATCTAATTTTGTTTTCTGATTATTTTTTTTTTATTTTAATTTTTTTTTGATTCCCATTAAAAAAAAACTTATCTTACGAAACTGGTCTCCTAAAATGAGATGATTAAGTGTGTTGAAAATAACGCAATTTTTAGTAGTAAGAATTTTTTTTTTTTAAATTAACTATTTATTTACATTTTAAGAGGAAAGATTAAATTATGATAATCGGCATAAATAAATATAAATATTATAATATTTTGGCTGCAAAAAAGCAATACATGGTTAATATGCTGAACTTACGCAACCCTTCCTTAATGATTTGTTAATTACAACCCAACATTTCAAATAACTTTTCAAGTTTCTAACAAATCTATCTTTTTCTCTTGTCAGATTAGCTGCATTTCACCCATCTGCTAACGCTGTAGTAATATTATGTTTTATATTTAAGACATCTGGGTTCTGGCTAAGAACCCAGATGTCTCAGATTTGACACCAGCTCCAGCCCAACAAGCGAGATTGGTACGGAAGGAGGCGTGAACTTCTTGTTAAATGCTCTCCCGCGGTGTTCTGCAATATGACCCTAAGGACTATGCCATAGTGCTTTAATTTATCTAATAGGATGCAGTGATCAACTGTATCAAATGCTTTTGATAAGTCAATAAAAACACCTAAGGTAAATTTATTTTATTTAAAACCATTAGTTACTTGATCAAATAATTCAATGAACGCATGTTCAGTTGAGAGATTTTTTTGAAACCTTTTTTTTTTTTTTTTTTTAGTTATTTTAGGTGCTCTTTATTTTAGGTGCTAACTTTTAATCCAATTGTAAGTTTTATTAATTATACCATAGTCTATGGTATAATTAATAAAACTTACAATTGTATTAAAAGTTATCTTACCAATGGAAAACATGTCCACTCTTGTTTTTAATTTATATAAATGATTTTTGCAATGCGTCTTTAAAACTAAATTCAGTCATGTTTGCTGATGATACAAATCTATTTCTTACTAACAATGATGTTAAGAAATTATATGGAGACATGAATACTAGAAATAAGTAAAGTAAATAATTGGTTTAAGGCTAAAAAACTTTCGCTTAACTCAGAGAAAACAAACTACATACTATTCCATAAAAAAACACAAGAAGAAAATTTTCCTCTTAAGTTGCCTGACCTTATCTCAAATGATAAATTAGTTAAAAAACACAAGAAGAAAATCTTC